AATTCGACAACCTAAGCATATGGACAAATTTCTAGAAACACACAGTCTCCCAAAACTGGACCCGGAAGAGAGAGAAAACTTGAACAGGTCAATAACAACAGAAGAAATTGAAGATGTAATCAAGACTCTCCCAGCAAACAAAAGCCCAAGCCCGGATGGCTTCACGGGAGAGTTTTACCAAACATTCAAAGAAGAACTAACACCCATTCTCCTCAAACTATTTCAAAAAATTCAAGAAGAAGGAAGACTTCCAAACTCGTTCTATGAGGCCAGCATAATTCTAATTCCAAAACCAGAAAAAGACACTACAAAGAAAGAAAACTATAGGCCAATATCCCTGATGAACATAGATGCCAAAAGCCTGAACAAAATACTAGCAAATCGGATCCAGCAATACATCAAAAAAAGTATGCACCATGAACAAGTGGGATTCATCCCAGGATGCAAGGCTGGTACAATATTCGCAAATCAATAAACGTGATACACCACATAAATAAAATGAAGAATAAAAACAACATGATCATATCAATAGATGCTGAAAAAGCCTTCAACAAAATCCAGCATCCATTTCTGATAAAAATGCTCAGCAATGTGGGAATAGAGGGATCATATCTCGACATAATAAAGGCCATACATGAAAGACCTACAGCCAACATCATATTCAATGGGCAAAAACTAAAAGCATTTCCCTTAAGAACAGGAACAAGGCAAGGATGCCCACTTTCGCCACTCTTATTTAACACAGTACTAGAAGTCTTAGCCACAGCAAGCCGACAGGAAGAAAAAATAAAAGGGATCAAAATAGGAAAGGAGGAAGTGAAACTGTCATTATTTGCAGATGACATGATACTATACGCAGAAAACCCCAAAGACTCCATCAAAAATCTACTAGACTCAATAAATGAATTTGGCAAAGTAGCAGGATACAAAATTAACGTCAAGAAATCGACGGCATTCTTATACACCAATGATGAACTCACAGAAAGATAAACTAAGAAAACAATCCCATTTACCCTTGTGGCAAAAAAAATTAAGATACCTAAGAATAAACTTAACCAAAGAAATAAAGGACCTATTTGCAGAAAACTACAAGTCATTGAAAAAAGAAATAGAAGGCCCTGGCCGGTTCTGCTCAGTGGTTAGAGCATCGGCCTGCGGTCCGGAGAGACCTGGGTTCGGTTCCCGCTAAGGGCATGTACCTCGGTTGCAGTTTGTCCCCAGCCCTGGTTGGTTGTGCAGGTGGCAGCCACTCGATGTGTCCCTTTCACGTCGATGTTTCTCTCTCTCTCTCTTCCTCTCCCTCCCACTCTATCTGTACAAAAAATGGAAAAGTGTCCTCGGGTGAGGATAAAAAAAAAAGAAAAAAGAAATAGAGGAAGATATAAAAAAGTGGAAGCACATACCCTGTTCATGGATTGGAAGAATTAACATCATTAAAATGTCCATACTACCCAAAGCACTCTGTAGATTCAATGCAATCCCCATCAAAATACCAACGACATACTTCACAGAACTAGAACAAATACTTCAAAAGTTCATATGGAACGAAAAAAGACCTCAAATAGCCACAGCAATCTTGAAAAAGAAGAATGAAGTTGGAGAAATCACATTACCAGATTTCAGGTTATACTACAAAGCCACTGTAATCAAAACAGCCTGGTACTGGCACAAGAACAGGCATATAGATCAGTGGAACAGAACAGAGAATCCAGAAACAAACCCAAGGCAATATGCTCAATTAATATTGGACAAAGGTGGCAAGAGCATACAGTGGAGTAAGGACCACCTCTTTAATAAATGGTGTTGGAAAAATTGGACAGCTACATGCAAAAAAATGAAACTAGACTATCAACTTACACCCTACACAAGAATAAACTCAAAATGGATAAAAAACTTAAATGTGACACATGAATCTATAAAAATCCTAGAGGAAAATGTAGGCAACAAATTTCAGACATCATACGCAGCAGAATTTTCACGGATACATCCCCTAAGGCAACAGAAACAAAGGGGAAAATGAACACACAGGACTCATCAAACTCAAAAGCTTCTGCATAGCGAAAGATACAATCATCAAAATGGAAAGGCTACCCACTGTCTGGGAGAGCATAACTGCCAATGATATATCAGATAAGGGGTTAATTTCCAATATATATAGAGTGCTCATACAACTCAACAAAAGGAAGACAAAGAACACAATTAAAAAATGGGCAGAAGAACTGAATAGACACCTCTCCAAACAGGACATACAAATGGCTAAGAGACATATGACGAAATGCGCATCATCACTAATCATCAGAGAGATGCAAATTAAAACAACAATGAGGTATCACCTCATACCTGTCAGAATGGCCGCCATCAACAAATCATCAAACAACAAGTGTTGGCAAGGGTGTGGAGAAAAGGGGACTCTAGTACACTGCTGGTGGGAATGCAGACTGGTGCAGCCACTATGGAAAACGATATGGTGTTACCTCAAAAAATTAAAAATTGAACTTCCATTTGACCCAGTGATCCCACTTCTAGGAATATACCCTAAGAAGCCTGAAACACCAATCAGAAAGAATATATGTACCCCCATATTTGTAGCAGCACTATTCACAATAGCTAAGATCTGGAAACAGCCTGAGTGTCCATCAGTAGACGAACGGATAAAAAAGCAGTGGTGCCCTGGCCGGTTTTGCTCAGTAGTTAGAGCATCGGCCTGCGGTCCGGAGAGACTCGGGTTCGGTTCCCGCTAAGAGCATGTACCTCGGTTGCAGTTTGTCCCTTGCCCTGGTTGGTCGTGCGGGTGGCAGCCACTCAATGTGTCCCTTTCACATTGATGTTTCTCTTTCTCTCTCTCTTCCTCTCTCTCCCTCCCACTCTATCTGTTGAAAAAATGGAAAAATGTCCTCGGGTGAGGATTAAAAAAAAAAACAAAAAACCAGTGGTACATATACACAATGGAGTACTATGCAGCTGTAAGAAAGAAAGATCTCTTATCCTTTGAGACGACATGGAGGGACCTAGCTGGAAAGTATTATCCTAAGCGAAACAAGCCAAACAGAGAAAGGCAACTATCATATGATCTCACTTATTTGTGGAATTTAATGAACATAAAGTCTGAGAAATGGGATAGTCCCAGAGACGTGGAAGTGGGGTACAGACTGACAATCCCCAGAAGAGGGGGTGGTGCGGGAGAGATAAACCACAGAACTTATATGCATGTATGCATGAACAATGGACATGGACAACAAAGCTGGAGACAGGGCAGGGAGGGAGAAGGAGGGGGGAATCAGTGAGGGGGAAAGGTGAAACATCTGTAACAAAAATAAAATAATTAATTTAAAAAAATTAGAATAAAAAAAAAAAGAAACTGAAGAAAATACAAATAAGTGGAAGCATATACCATGTTCATGGATAGAAAGAATTTAACATCATTAAAATGCCCATACTACCCAAAGCATTCTATAGATTCAATACAATTCCTATCAAGATACCAATGGTGTATTTCACAAAACTAGAACAAATATTCTAAAAATTCGTATAGAACCACAAATGACCCCAAATGGCCACAGAAATCTTGAGAAAGAACTAAGTTGGAGGAATCACGCTACCTGATATTAAACTATACTACAAGGCCATAGTAATCAAAACTGCATGGTACTGGCACAAAAACGAACATATAGATCAATGCAACAGAATAGAGCCCAGAAATAAACCTATGCCTTTACAGTAAATTAATATTTTACGAAGGAGGCAAGAACATACAATGGGATAGAGATAGTCTATTCCGTAAATAGTATTGGAAAAATTGGACAGATACATGCAAACAAATAAAATTAGACCACCGTCTTACACCATACACAAGAATAAACTAAAAATAATTAAAGACTTAAATGTTAGACTCAAAACCATAAAAATCCTAGAAGAAAACATAGGCAGTAAAATTTTGAAAACTTCTCTTAGCAATATTTTTTCTGATATATTGCGTCAAGCAAGGGAAACAAAAGGAAAAATAAACAACTAGGACTTCATCAAACTAAAAAGTTTTTGCATAGCAAAAGAAACCATTCACAAAATGAAAAAACAACACACTGAATGGGAAAGCATATTCACCAATGATACATCTGATAATGGGTTAATATCTGAAATTTACAAAGAACTTATACAACTCAACACCAAAAAAAAAACCAAAAAACAACCAATTAAAAGATGGGCAAAAGACCTGAATAGATACTTCTCCAATGAGGACATACAGATGGCCAACAGGCATATGAAAAGATGTTCAATGTCACAAATCATCACAGAAATGCAAATTAAAACCACAATGTGATAATCACCTCACACCTGTCAGAATGGCTATCATCAATAAATCAACAAAAAATAAGTGTTGGCAGAATGTCGAATAAAGGGAACCCTCATGCTGTTAGTGGGAATGCAGACTGGTGCAACCACTGTGGAAAGCAGTATGGTGTGACCTCAAAAAGTTAAAAATGGAACTGCCTTATGATCCAGCGATTCCACTTCTGGGAATATATACAAAGAAACCTAAAACACTAATTCAAAAGAATATATGCAGCCCTGGCCAGTTTGACTAGGTGGTTAGAGTATCAGCCCAAGGACTGAATGGTCACGGGTTCGATTCCTAGTCAAAGGCATGTACCTGGGTTCCAGTTTCAATCCCTGGCCCCAGTTAGGGTCATCTGTAAGCAACCAATTGATGTATCTCTCTCACATTGATGTTCCTCTCTCTCTCTCTTTCCCTCCCTCCCTTCCACTTTACCTAAAAACATCAATGGAAAAATATCCTCAGGTGAGGATTAACAACAACAACAAAAGGAAAAAAAAAAAAGACTTTTTACACCCTTATGTTCATTCCAACATTATTTACAATAGCCAAAATCTGGAAACAGCCATAGTGTCTGTCAGTAGATGAGGGGATAGAAAAAATAAAAAGCAGTGGTACATTTACACAGTGGAATACTACTTGGTCATAAAAAAGAAAAAAATCTTACCCTTTGTGACAGCATGGATGAACCTGGAAAGCATTATGTGAAGTGAAATAAACCAGTCAGAGAAAGATAAGTACCATATGATTTCACTCATGCATGGAATCTAATGAACAAAATAAACTAACAACAGAGAGTCAGAGAGAACAGACTGACAGCTGTTGGAGGAGTATGATGATCACCAGAGGAAAACGGGGGTGGAGGAGGTAGAAGAGGGTACAGAGAGGATAAATGGTGACAGGAGACTTGACTTGGGGTGGTGAACACACAATATACAGATGATGTATTATAGAATTGTACACCTGAAGCCTATATAATTTTATTAACCAATGTAACCCCAATAAAGAAAAAGAAGTTGTAATAGTCAACAATTTGAGTTTGTTTGCCACCTACAAATAGGCAAGCATATACATTTTTATTTAAATTAATGCTTTATAATGTGTATCATTATAATTATTGTTGAAAACTGTAATTAAAGCTGATACATGATTATATTATTATAAAATGTTGAGCAATCCTTGGCCAGTGTTGCTCAGTGGTTAAAACACTGGCCTGTGCACCAACGGGTCGCAAGTTTGGTTCCTGGTCAAGGGCACGTAATACAGGTTCTATCCCCGGCCTGGTCAGAGTGCATGCAGGAAGCAACCAATTGATGTGTCTCTCTCATATTTTGTTTCTCTCTCTCTCTCTCTTTTTTTCTCTCTCTTCCTCCCTCTCTTTCTCCCCCTCCTTCCCTTCCACTCTCTCTAAAATCAATGGAAAAAATATCCTCAGGTGAGGATTAACACCAACAACAAAAATTTTGAGCAATATCCTAATTTCCCTCAATTTTCAAAATTCTATACTAATTTTGATTATGGCAAAAGAAGAAAGGACATGATGGCAGGACAATGCAATATCACTAATATCTTTTTTTCTTATTGTTAATACAACCAATAAATTTCTAATACTACTGTAACAAAATTTTAGACAATAAGATTTTCTTTCAATTAAATGTTAAGTGAAACAGTGATTTTAAATATTCGATTTAGATGGCCTATCTATATATTATAGGCACCCCGTTCTCTAGTGCTCAGTTACTATTGCTCATGCAAAACAAGTGTAACTCAAGTTTTTAAAAGAGCAAAATTTGTCTGGCCAGTGTGGCTCAGTGGTTGAGCATCCACCCATGCACCAAGAGGTCACTGGTTTGATTCCTGGTCAGGGCACATGTCCAGGAGTGGGCCAAATCCCCAGTGGGGGGCATGGAGGAGGCAGCCAATCGATGATCTCTCTCATCGAGGTTTCTCTCTCCCTCTCCCTTCCTCTTTCTCTAAAATCAATAAAGAAAAAAAGCGCAAAATTTATAAAGGCAAGAATTTAATTCATCAAATTACCATGAACTATCCATGAGATAATCTTCTCTGAAGTAAGTATATGTTCCAGTTCTATTAACAGGATTTTCTGCTATGCATGAGAAGGTCAAATCAGAGTATAGCCAAATAAAACCCAACACAGAGATAGGAGCAGCGGCCCATGCATGGAATTTATTGTGTGCTACTGTTTATAAAATACTCAGATAGTCCTGTACATGCATAATATTTCCAACTTAGACAGGAGACCATACAGGGTGCACTTTCTGGCAAACAAAACAATAGATGGTTCCGCTGCCTGGAGCTCTGAGTTGTATTCCAGGGCATGAGGGAAGCAGGCCACCAAAGTAAAGGGAAATACCAAACTACAGTGGCAATCAATACAGGTCAATAATTGTGAAAAATTAGCACATGGTTCCATTTAGTTTAAGCAGTTCTGACTATCCAAAGAAAATATTCAACATGCAGTCTTGCCTTTTATGCCTCCACTAACAACTGAATGATTGAATAGAACCATTGTTGCTTCTATGTGGCAATGTTTAATCAAAAACACTTCCAGAACATTTTAAAATTTCCTTTGCATCAAAACATAAAAATGATAGAAAGCCAGCAGCAAATCACCCTGGTGTCTATTTAAGCAATTTGAGTACTCACAATAAACTAAAATTCCTCATAACATCTAGGTAACTTACACATGTTGTACCTGTACATAGGTCTATATATTAAATATTTGCAAAATGAAAACATGCATACACAAAATACGTCAAGTTTTACAGACATGATTTGAATTAAAATTTACTTTGACAATGTACAAATTTCTTTTTTAATATATCTTAAATGAGTAATTCTGTAATTCTGTATAATTTTGAAATTTAAGAGGTTTCCTTCTTAAATCTCTGGGGTGTAAATCTCAAAAGATCTGGGCAAAAAGATTCTAAATTAGTTTTTGGATTTGTGTTCAAGTAACAGTCTATCTAGAAATAGATTGTGCATTCATAATTTAAAAATACCAAAACTATATTACAGAATTAGCCACATTTAAGAACTATAGACCTGAGGTCAGCATTCTGTATAAATGCCAACTGGGTTTCTCAGCATTTCTCAGCCCATAATTCAAAATACAACTTAGTAACCTCAGAAATGTATTTTAAGACCATGCTAGTTCACCCTTTAAAGACATTTCATGGGGGAAAAGACCACATTAGCTCTTAGGATTGCATTTGAAGTCATGGTTGAAAAACAAAATCTAATTCTACTGAAGGAAAAAAGAAATTTCATTTGTAAACTTAAATGTGTGAACCACAAGCATAAATGGAGGTGCAGTGGCCCTCCACTGGTAATTGCCCCAAGCCCCTTGCTCACTGCTCTCCACCTTGGCAGCGATGACCCAATCTTATCAGATAGCACAACATGTCCCAGTGCCCTCAAGCCTCCATCAGTGAAGGAGTCTGAGGTCTCAAAAGCACAATGATTTCTCCAGAGGGACCGTGACATTTACAGTCAGCTTGGCCGACCCCTGCAGCTCCTCGGGTAATCTGTCCATTTGGGGCCTGAGATGTGAGAGTCCCTGGGAAGCCGTGGGTCACTGGGCACCATGGTTGCCAGTCCCGTGGTTCTCAGTGGCATGTGCGGTGTTCAGAGAATTGAAACCATCTGGCTGTACAGCATCTTTCCGGGGTGGCATTCTCTCATTGATCCTATCCAAACCCTTTGCCTCTTCAAAACTGCAGATTCTATGTGGTGGAGAGAATCCTCGTATTGCTTAACAAAATGCAAATTTGATAAGTCAGTAATTGAAAAACATTTTTGAGATTTCAAAAACATAATGATTTTTAAGATGACATTAGCTGTATGTAGCAATATTTAAATCTTATTTTAGCTGAATCCTATCCCCATTCCAGACTTCCCCTTAAAATGTGAAATGTTTAAACCTAAATATAAACATGACAGCATCATAAATGACAAGTGTTAGTGTTGCCTTTTTTTAAAAAAAACATCAAAATAACCCTCCCCTGTCCCCAAAATCAACCTCCAGGTAATGGTCTCAGGGTCTCAGTTTGACTTTTACTACACCAGTTTATTTCCTACCTCAGACCCCAAGATCACCAGTGACTATCACAGTAAGGCAGCATCAAGAATAGGGGCAAGTGAGGAGGCTAAAGAAGGTTAATCCTTGACATATAAATCTGTACCAAGAGCTTGAGAGGAGAAAGATAAAGTTAAAATTTAGCAGATCAGAACTATCTTGGAGGTCAAGGTATCATCACTTTATCACCATCAATATGAAGAGAAAAGGGTGGAAAATGCCTCCAGGAGTTAGATCTGTGTTTGGCTCATTAAAAAAAAAAAAGTATTTATAGTTTCATATTTTAGGAGATGTCATCTTTAACTTACTGGCCATTTACTGCATGGTCTTAAGAAACCCACACCAAAATAAATGGTAATTCTCCTCTAATTGTTATAGTTTCTCATTTACTTCATCTGGAATGATATATCCTATTAAAATGCACATAGAAAAAAATGTCTATACTACTGATTATAATCTGGTTGCTTTAATATGTGTAATCCCTAGGATTCAGAGTCTGTGCATGTGAACCAAATAAATGGTTGGGCAGCAAAACATTTAGCAATGTGTAATATTAAGCCAATACTTCATATACATGAGTGTAGTATTATCAGCAAACACTAGCCCAAACTACAACAAAAACAAAAACAAAAAATCATAGTGATAGCTTTTGCACTCTCAGGTGAATTACTGAAAATGAATAAAAACAAACTCAAACCTATGTCTAGAGTGGGTTTTAACTTAGGAAAAAAAAATCTGAGTAGCACAAAATCATACAAAATATGGAATAGATCTTTAAATGCTATAATATTATAGCAGAAAATGCTATACTCTAAAGAATTCAGGAACATTAAAAGCTAGCTGGATGCTATACTATAAAAGGGGAAAAACCAGCCCTGGCCGGTTTGGCTCGGCGGTTAGAGCGTCGGCCTGCGGTCCGGAGAGACCCGGGTTTGGTTCCCGCTAAGGGCACGTACTTCGGTTGCAGTTTGTCTCCGGCCCTGGTTGGTCATGCGGGTGGCAGCCACTTGATGTGTCCCTTCACGTCGATGTTTCTCTCACTCTCTCTCTCTTCCTCTCTCTCTCCCTCACACTCTATCTGTACAAAAAATGGAAAAATATCCTCGGGTGAGGATAAAAAAAATAAAAAATAAATTAAAAAAAAAAGGGGGGGAAAAACCAGACTGTCACTATGGAAATCAGTCCTTATGATTGATTGATTGATTGATTGATTGAGAGAGAGAGAGAGAGAGAGAGAGAGAGAGAAGTGACTTAAACTTGATGAGTCAGTGAGTCTGATTCATCTTGGGCTGTGTAAGTTAGGAGTTAGACACACCCACAGGACATTCTCTGATGCCCACCCACACACACACCACAGATCTCTGCCCAGCGCAAGGACTCTGATCATACCTTTTTCAGCCTCAATAGCCTCAACTGTGGCTGTACAGAAGTGAGCAGAGGCATGCAAAATGAATGAGAGAGATGAGAAGGGTCATATTGTACAGCAGAAAAGGCAATGATCACTTAAAATATCACAGTACCCCATACTACATCATCATTTACAATTTAACGTAATAGTACCCATATCAGAGCCCCATTCAATCCCCAAATTT